ACAAGAAGGGTCATTCCTTTTTTTTTAATATTTTTTTTTATTCCAAAAATATATGGAAGAAAAGAAGGAAAGACAAGTGTATTATTATAGAAATTTTAAATTAAACTATACAAGTTTTAAATTACTGTAAATATTATTAGATATAATTAAAAAAATAATTAAAACTCTCTCTTTTATTCTCTCTCAAGGAACATATGAAATTATAAACTTATTATCTTCTCTTTTATCCATCCTAACAAAAATGAGAAAATATTTCTTTCCTAGGGATCTCATTCATCCATTATTCTCTCACTTCCATTCAATTTTTTTCTAATATCTCATTCATCCAATATTCTCTTATTTCATACTCAACGGAGCATTTGTCAATTTCAAATTGCAAACCCTTTTTCCAAAACTAGTCAAATTTCTTTTCAAAAGAGGGAATAGGATTTAAGTTCTCCAATTATTTACAATTTTATAAAAGATTTAAAGATATATATTTAAATATATAATATAACTATATTCTTAGCAATGATAATCAACCATTCATTTCTCTTCTCTAATAGCATAAATTTATTTTCTTTTCTTTTATGATGAGTTGTCTTTTAAGTAATCAGTATATAATGTAAATTAAACTATTTCACCTTGATCGATATGTGTCCGAATACATACAACATGGAAGTTTTACATAGTTGGTAATTGAATACATATAAAATTTGATTCAAATTTTTTTTTTCTCTATTAAATAGGTTAGGGGGACTCAAACACGAACACACAGTTCACTAATTAATAGGGGTGGCAATTCGTGTTCGTAGGTCGTAATCGTGTCGTGTTGTTTATTAAACGGGTTACACGTGTAACTCGTTTAATAACCTATTTAATAAAATTAATTATTTAATTATTTAAATTATTAATAATATTTGATCAAACATTAAATACTAGAAAAATATAAGTTTCAATCCAACCAAATTACTAAATAAACTCTAATTTAGGAAAGAATAAATTATAATATATAAGTTTATATAGTTATTTTATAACTTAAATAGAAATTTGCTTACGACACATATAATTAAATGGGCATAAACAAGTTGAATCTCTCAATTCAAACACGACACGATTAACTAAATGGGTTAATTGTGTCAACCCGTTACTCGAACCCATTTAAGGTCAACCCAAACCTATTTAACTCGTGTCGTGTCATGTTCGAATTGTGTTGTCTGACCGTGTCAATTGCCACCCTTACTAATTAATGCCTAATTTGACTCTAATTTTTTTTAATTGTGTTTTGTTTGTATCTACGTGTCGACACTATTAACCCTACACGTCAAATTATTTTCATATAATTTGACTTTTTTTTTTTGAAAATAACTATTCTTTTAATTGGTCAAATAAAGTAGAATCATTCACTTAATTATATTTAATATTAATAATTAATTAAAAATTATTGGATGAAATAATTAATTACAAGTGTTTGGTGTGAACATCTATATAGATTTGTTTGTACCATCATTTTTAAAAAATTTATCCTGCAAAATCAGCTTTAAAAAGGTATGGATAGGGTTATTGATACTTTTACTACAGACCATCCATATATTTTCCGACAACACAAAGGTGTTTTGCATGCCCCCTACGATCACCGAGAGTTCAGAAAGGTCCAACAACAGACTGCCACCTAAGTCTAAAGTTCTGTGGTGTGACGTGGCTCGTTTCTATTGGCTTTGGTACTGTCGCTGTATCATTCTGTCTTAAATTTATCGACCCTAGAATCTCTGCGTCTTCTGATGTTTACTTGCACCGTCGATTTGTAACAAGACTGACGGTTAATATTTTTTATTTTTTAATGTTTAATTAATTAATTAATTGAGTTCACATGTAAATTTCCATGAATGCCCACTGTACCTGCGAAAAACAACTACAATGCCACCTCCTCTCTTCGTTTGCCAACTAGTAATAAATATGAACTTGGAAATATTCAAGATTGTCACACTAACCTATATAATACGCTCACATGAAAAAAATAAAAATAATAATACACACATAAATGATACAAAACAAACCAGCTTAACAGGAAAAGGTCAAGTGATGTGACGTGGGTGATATAGAATCAGTCATTTTTGTATGACAAATCATACCATCTTTAATTTGATGAAAATAAAATATATATAGTTTGCCCAATTTAATACCTTTTTAGTTTAAATCTTAAAATGAAAAACATTTATGAAATGATTCACTTTCACTTTGTTATGATAATTCAATCCAGTGTTCGATTATGAACTGATCATCTAAGTACATTCCAATAACACAATTTGAATATTGTTAGAAATAGTAAGGTGCTATTTGATAAACTGAAAATTAAGTACTCAAAATTTTAAGAGTAGAATTTTAAGTACCGAAGTTTTTTAAGTGATAATTAATTTTAAATTTAATATATATATATTTTTTTCCACATTCATCATTCAATAATAAGCATATTCCCGTCACTTAAATTTTTACTCCATTTTAAGTGACACATAATATTTTTCGTGATATTCAAATTGCATTATCAAATGTACTTAATCGAATAAGCACTTAGAGCCCGTTTGTGATTGCTTTTCTACTGCTTAAAAGCGTTTTATTTTTTAAAAAATTGTGTTTTGATGTGTTTGGTAACCATTAAAAGCGCTTTTAGTGGTTACCAAATTTAGAGTTTAGCGTTTGAATGAAACTATATTTTGGAATTTTTAAAACTGTATTATGAGTAGAGATTAAATATTTTAGGTAACTTTTTTTATTAGTTAATTATGTCTTCTTCTTTTTTTCTTTTTCTTTTTCTTTTTTATAAAGAGATTACATTCATTCCTTAATAAAGTTGTTATTATTAAATGTGGTAACATCCTATTAAAGGATATTATTGTAAAATTAGTAATAGAAATGTTTAAAAAAATATTGTTACAAAATAAATGTATAAATAATTTAATTATGAAAAATATATATTTTTGGATATGTTTAATTATGAAAAGTATTTATTATAATGTATCATCAAACACCTAGACCACAAAATTTTGACAATTATATTGATAAAAACGTTTTTTTACTCAGACCAGCAACCCCCCAAACGCGGTCTTATTTTTTTGATGCGCTTGCTGTGCATGAATATAATGAAATGCAAGTAGAAATGAAATGAGAATGGGAATTGAATGAAATGACCATTCTAATTCTATCGTTAGGTCGTGAATATGAAATATGTGGGAATGGAATGATAATAATCATTATAGTGTTTGGTTCGATCAATTTAGAATTTAGAATGAAATAAATTTCAAATTGAATTATCTAAAATATCCCTCTTAATAACAAATAAATCAAATTAACAAAATGACATTCTTTAATAATTTTATTTAAAAAAATAAATGGGGGCATTAGCGGTGGTGGAGCCGGAAAATGGTAATGGTGTATGAGGTGGTGTTAAAAAAGTGGCGGTGGTGGCAACGGTGGAAGGCAGTGGTAATGGTGAAAGGTGGCGGCAGCGGTGATGGGTGTGATAGTGATGGAAGGTGGTGGAAGGCGATGACGATGGTAGTGGTGGCAATGGTGGTGAAAGGCGATGGCGGTGGCAGCGGTGGTGGTGGAAGGCATTGGTAGTGGTGGAAGGTGGCGACGGTGGAAGGTAGTGAAAGGTGATGGTGGCGGCGCAGAATGTGGTGTTGAGTGTTGAAAGGCAATAGCGGTAGTGGTGGTGGAAGGCGATGGCAGTAGCAGTGGTGGTGGTTGAGGCAAATGAAGGCGGTGTCGGTGGTGAAAGGCAACGGTAGTGGTGAGTGGTGGTGGAAAGTAGTAGGCGATGGTGAGAGTTGATGGTAGTGGTAGTGGTAGTAGGCGGTGATAGTGGTGGTGGTGGTGGTGAAAGGTGGAAGTAATTGTGGTGGAAGGAAGTTGAGGTTTTTGGATTTGAATATGAGGGTTTTTTGGGAAGTTGATTTTAAAAAAACAATTTACTTGGTGGAATGACTATTACACAGGTTTAATTGTGGAATGAAATTTAATTCACAGGAATGATTTTTATTTCAATGGAATGGCTTTAAATTGCATACCAAACAAAGGAATTGTTAGAATGGACATTCCATTCCTACACACTAAACACAACATTAATCTCTTTAGAATTAAGCGCTAAATTGAGTAACTAAATAGTACTAAGTGTCACTTAAAATGAAGTAAATTTCTAAGTGGGAGGAAGTCTTATAGGAACGCTAGACGCTATATATATATATATATATTTTTAAGTTATTAAAAATATTTATTTTTTTAATAACCACTTAAAAACTTCCTTAGTACTTAATTTTCATTGTTCCTATATTTATTCAACACGTAATTTGGGAACTTGTCATGCGTGTATTTAGTAGTTAGTACAACACGGAGGACTGAGGAAACACTGTGTATACATATAAGAGACATAAATACTATATGCTCAAACATTTATGGTATTTTAGATTTCAATTTACTTATTTATTTATTTTAATGACTGCACCAAAAAAGTCCAAACTACTATCAAAATCCAAACCTACCACCACTGACGCAAACCATTTTGTACGATCCAAATTATGAGAAACATGGATGGTGAGATACTCATTCAAGCCCCATTAAAATGAAACTTTAAAACAACTTCGAATTTTAAAACAACCCCCAAAAAAAACATTTTGGTTTTTTAGCCCTAATTGGAAACAAACACTTTTGTCGGCCACAATATAAAAAAGGTAGGACCTTTCATACCAGGTACGACGTCGTATTGGGATTGCCAACTGGGCAAGTAAAGGCCTACCCTTTTCTTCCCTTTTTCTCTTTTCTATATTCCATAATTACAAACCCTTACCGCCTTGTATCATTTAAATCGTCGATTAGGACAACCGCGTGACTCTGTGTGACCATTACTGTAATAAACTGGAATCAACAAGGGCACTATCGGAATTACGCTCACTTAACGAACGCTTTGTACTGCTATTTTTTATTATTATTATTTTTTAAAATTTACAATTAGTGAATGATTCATTAATAAACAGATTTAGACCACGCCCCAAACAAGGTGGGAGAGAAGACGAAGAAAAAACAAAGAAAAACAATTGACGTAAAAAAAAAAAAAAAACAAAAACAATTAAAAGCCTTTTGCTTTCAATTTCAGAGCGCTTCGATCTCTCTCTTCAATAAATCCAGATCGATTTTTCCGTTTTTCGGCGAAAAATCGAACTGGTGAAGAAAGAGTTCAAGAGCTCATTGTTCTTCGTTCTGATCTCATCTTCTGTTTCTGTTTTTCTGAAATCATTTTTGCAAAAGAAGTCAATCAACAACTTGTAGTGGAAGAAAATTGGAAGAGAAGTTTGTTGTTGTTTGTGTTGCTCTTGAAGAGAAGGAGAGAGAATTTGGAGCAAGGGAAGGGAGAGAAACTGTGGATTTGGAGTGGTTGGTGTCGAATTGGTATCGTGTTTGAAGGAATCGGAAGCGGATTCAGTTGACGTTTCCGATCCGGTTGAAGTTATTGGACTATGGTATTGATTTTTATTGATTTTGGTGTTTATTTTGGTATAGTTTTGTGTTGATTTTGATTTGAAGTTATTTGGTTCTCTTGTTTGTTGGGAAGGGGATGTGTTCTTATTTTTTTTTGTTCAATACTTGTTTGATCCGTTTTTAGTTTGATTAAAAAATTGGGAAGATTTGTTCTTTTAGGGTTTTTTTTGGTGTGGATTTTGTACTTCGTTATGAACTAATCACATTGTGATATAATCATTTATACTGTCTCTTTAGATCTCCAATTTGATATCTCCAATTTGATATATACAATGTTGTAGTTGTGGACTCTTTGGTTAAGCGTGTATTTGAAGCAGCTTGCAACTGATGAGCACTTGAAATGGTAGACTTAAGTTTGATGATTGATCTGGACATGTGTGTGTTTTCATTCGCAGCATTTATGTTTGGATTTGGTTCACATGTTCAGCTAGCTAACACTCATTGCGATATTATGATATGATTACCGATTTATCGACTTCTATTGCTATGTTGAACACTTGATACAAGCTACTTAATCCTGTGATGGAGGCTAATGCTAAAGTAATTAATATAATGGTAATGTTGGTCTTTTATGCTTTTTTAGTTTCATGCTGATTAGTTTGCTTCATAGTTCATGACTTTCCTTTTATTTGGTTTGTCAAATTCCTGCACAAACTGATGTAGTTTGTTTGACATAATTTTTTCCTTTTGGTGTACTCTAAATATAGGATTGTTATATTAAGTTACTGCAATGGCCTAAAAAAACCGTTTTACTCATTCTTTTAATTATTCTTGATTGTCTTACTTATATATATTTGTGCTGTAAGATGTTAGGAATTGCCTGGTTTTGGGATGGTTGCAGTTCCTCCCTCAAGATTCTTAATTTTTTGCACAAATTCTATGGACTTGCTGTCAACATTGGTGCTAACAGCTACACTGACACTAGAAATATAGGTTTTTCCATTTTGGAAATATTTTATGATAGGTTTTTTTTGTTTTCCCTGATTTTTATCAGAATGAATCTATTCAGTAACGATACAAAAATGCAATTTGATTATGCCAATGCCGATGTGGAACACTTATAAAAGTGCTGGCATGATATTAAAGAGTGGTTGGGGTCAGGTGGTTAATTCTTATTGAGAATCAATTAGAATGCCCGATTATTGTCTAATCACAATCACTGCTGGGTGTTGATATTTTATTAATTGTGGTTTCAAATTGGTAATTGACACCCCTTTCCTTGTTTTCGGGAGTGTACTGATGAACTCAGTTCTAGGCTCATCATCATCATTATTATTATTGTAACATTGTACTTGAGATAAACAAACTTCACTTATCTGGTCATTGTAACTGGTTATTGATGGTTTGAATATTGACACTCTTGGTTTTGTAGGCTGCTTCAGTCAGTCTAGGCGTTGGGTCTCTTGTTTGGGTGGAGGATCCTGGTGTAGCTTGGATAGATGGGGAAGTTGTGGCTGTCAATGGTGATGACATTAAGGTTCTTTGTACTTCAGAGACTTCAGAGAAGACGGTGAGTGTTCTCTAACTACATGACATATATTCATAGATATTTTGTGTGTATATCTGCCCCAACTATATTCTTTTCCTCCTTCCTTCCCGGGTCAAATTCTAAGCCATAAGATGCTGGTTGTTTTCTTTTGTATGTTTCTTTATTATGCATTTATTTTGACAAATAGGGGTTTCAGCCATGAAATAGGTTCTTGTATGTTGTTGTCACCTTTATACTAGCAAATATTTTGCAAACAGAACTTGGAGCTAAGGATTCATTGCTGTTCTTTTTTCTTGTTAAATTTTAAATGCAGATTGTTGTTAAAGCTTCCAATGCCTATCCCAAAGATGCTGAAGCACCGCCATGTGGAGTGGATGACATGACAAAGCTGGCTTATTTGCATGAACCAGGTGTCCTACATAATTTAAGGTCGAGATATGATATCAATGAAATATATGTAAGTTCCGCATTCTTTTTCACATTTGATGGACGTTGCAGACCATAGGTCTCTCCTTTTCCAATATAAACTGTAATCTATTTTCTCCTATATTAAGGCTAATGACTTACTGGTGCCTCCAGACTTACACAGGGAATATATTGATTGCTGTGAACCCTTTTAGAAGATTACCTCATCTATATGATAGCCATATGATGGCACAATACAAAGGGACAGCTTTTGGCGAACTGAGTCCTCATCCTTTTGCTGTTGCAGATGCGGCATACAGGTACTTTATCACAGTCCTTGTTCTCACTATAAGTTGATAATTTGAAATTCTTTACTTCATCTCAAGATGAAAAAAGGCCATTTCTGTGAATGCAGACTTATGATCAATGAGGGAATAAGTCAGTCTATTTTAGTTAGTGGAGAAAGTGGGGCAGGTAAAACAGAAAGCACAAAACAGCTTATGCGTTATCTTGCTTACATGGGAGGGAGAGCTGCAGCTGAGGGGAGGTCGGTTGAGCAGCAAGTCCTGGAGGTAATAAGTCTCGCAATTTCAGTGTGTCCAACAAGATGATTTAAGAAGTCAAAAGTTGTGATGTTGAAATTTTTTATTTTCACTACATGACTAGCTTCGATTAACTCTATATGACAATATTTTGGATCTGTTTTGTTCTCTTTTTGCAGTCCAATCCTGTTTTGGAAGCTTTTGGAAATGCGAAAACCGTCAGAAATAATAACTCAAGGTGGGATGTTTATGTATTTAACAACTATCTCCTGCATATGTTGCCAACCTTCTTTGATACTATCACTTGATTGGTTTTGTCTAAATCTGCATGTTCCAAATGTTGCAGTCGTTTTGGTAAGTTCGTGGAAATTCAGTTTGACCAGAAGGGAAGGATTTCGGGTGCTGCTATCAGAACTTATTTGCTTGAAAGATCTCGCGTTTGTCAAGTGTCTGATCCTGAGAGAAATTATCACTGTTTCTACATGCTTTGTGCTGCACCACCGGAGGTAAGGGGTCTCTCATTATTTCACAAAAAAATAAAATTGTGGATAAGGACTATACATGTAGAGCATTTTGTTTTTCAAATACTCTGCATTTATTTTTTTAAGATTGGATTTCTTATATCTAACATCCTTTTTTATAGCAAATTGGCCACACAATGATTTTGTAGGCATCCCCAATTGGAGTAATGCATCCTTGTTCTTCCTCTGTTTCTTATATTTTAGATCTAGAAATCACTACTTTCATAGCAGCTATTATCTATGTATATGATTGATAAAAAAGGTGACAAAGTAGGATTACTATGATAGATGAAATATTCCCTCTGTATTCTTCTTTCCGTCTTCTGGTCATTGTTGTTGTGATCCCCGGATGATAAAGCTTGTGTGAAAATTTGAAGATGCTGAGTGCTGACGTTTCAAGTACTTTAAAATCTCTCCACGTGTCTCGAATAAATAGGTATTGAGGAAGATATCTTTATCAGTTTCAGGCGCTGCTGTGATGGAACTAAGAGGCTAAGAGCTTGGTTGAAGTTGTGGTTATTTAATTTGATAAATCGCTTTTGGGTGCTCTTGTTATGAAATTTAAATCTTTCTCAATGAAACTTAACTTTTTGTTATGTTATTTATAAACAAATAACAAAAGATACCAAGAATAGTTCCGCCCTCTAGTTACCAAATTTTAATTCAAACCCAAAGTTCAAAACCTTGAATGTTGTACTTTCTACTTCACAGTTTGTGGATCATTAATGTTTGCTATTTTATGTGTATTATGTATCATTTCAGAAAATATTGCAAACCAGCTCATTCGAGCGTTTTACTGATGATTTCTTTTTTAGTTCAATTTGAGAAATTATTTCCTCAATAGTTCACTTAAAGCTCCATATGTTTATTCAACTTAATTCAAGAGAAATTATATTGCACCTTCTTTATGCTTCAGGATGTTCAAAGGTTCAAATTGGGAAATCCAAGATCATTTCATTATCTAAATCAATCAAATTGCTATGAGTTGGATGGAATTGATGATTCTAAAGAATACATTGCAACAAGGAGGGCTATGGATGTTGTTGGAATAAGTACAGAGGAGCAGGTACTATTGTGGGGGATTTTGTTCAAATGGGCAAGTCGGAACTCAGAATATTGAAATCACTACTACAATTTCTTGATGTTCCACGTGTTTTTCTTTTGTAGGATGCAATTTTTCGAGTTGTTGCTGCAATTCTCCATATAGGAAACATTGAATTTGCAAAGGGGAAGGAAATAGACTCTTCTGTTCCCAAAGATGAAAAATCTTGGTTCCATCTAAGGACTGCAGCTGAGCTGTTCATGTAAATGATTAATTTCATCAACACATGCACATGCATAAAAAGAGACATTCTTATCAAATTTTGCACTTGTATGCTTCCTTGGGAGAAGAAAATGCAGATTCTTAAATGTTAAATTTTGTTCAGGTGTGATGTAAAGGCGTTGGAGGATTCCCTTTGCAAACGTGTAATGGTAACTCGTGATGAAACCATCACAAAGTGGTTGGATCCAGAATCTGCAGCTACCAGTAGAGATGCATTGGCAAAAACTGTGTACTCGAGGTTGTTTGACTGGTAAGCTTTCATGTCATACTTCAGAGAGCCGCATCAAACATTGTTTCAACATTGACCTTTGTCATTTTATATTTTTCATCTAATTTTACTTATAAAAAGAAAGATATTTGTTCTTCTAATTTTGTTTCTTTAATTTCTTAACATTCAGCTTTGTTCTGTGAGTTGTTTAAAACACTTAATTCTGGTTTTTACTTTTTAGAATTGCTATGTAATTCTTTTACTACTTTTGCAGGCTTGTGGATAAGATTAATAGTTCAATTGGTCAAGACCCAGACTCAAAGTCTTTAATTGGGGTGCTGGACATTTATGGATTTGAGAGTTTCAAGACAAACAGGTGCTTAACTGGTATGCCTTTTGTTTTTTAATTGTGAATTGAAACCCAGTCATTGCGCCGAATGGCATAATTTGTATTCATAAGTTTATAAAGGTTTTTGGAAATTCAACGGTAAGAGAGTGGAGGAAATGTGTCTGCATCCTTGCCGCTGTCTATTTTCCTTATTATGTAGGATGGAGCTAGGACAACTCCTCATCACAGAAGAATTCAATTCCTTAGATTTTTAGTCTATTTCTATTTTCTAAAGAACTGATTTTCAATTTTCTGTGTGATTGGTACTCATGTCTGATGTTCCTTTGTGCTAATCGAAGTCACTTGCATTGTGCATCTGTTGTGTTTGTTTTTTTGTGTCTTTTAGACCTGGAAGTATCCTATTTTTGTTTATTTTATCTTTTGATGGATAATTATAAACATATATGAGCACTTACTATCTGTCTGAAAGAAGACATCTATTTCTGTATCTGCCTTCAAAACACACGCAATGCATATTCGATGATTTTGTGATGTCAAAGTATCTGATCCATTCTAACATTTAGCACCAGTGCACCACCATGTGGATGTAAAGGCTTTTATGCCCATTCAATCTCATTCAATGTATGATATGTCGTTAGAATTATGGTTAAAATATTTGAAGATTTGGAAGAGTTGATCCTAAAAAAGTTATCCATCTTGTTTGCTATGGCATTTTCATCAGGGAAATGCATACTTATAAAATGGAGATCGTTTTTTTTTTTTTTTGATAAGTGAAATTTTTTTGGTTTGGATTTGGGTCTTGAAAAAAATGGACGTCACTTTTATGAGTTTAATATCTATATTGATGCCAATATGGCATATTATTGATTATTTATTTATTTTTATTTTTATTTTTTTATACTGTTTCATTTATTCTACTGTTCCATCATGACCCTTCTAGCCCCCATCGGTCACCTATAGATTCCATCATGACACTTCTAGCCCCCATCGGTCACCTATAGATTCCATCATGACACTTCTAGCCCCCATCGGTCACCTATAGATTCCATCATGACACTTCTAGCCCCCATCGGTCACCTATAGATTTCCTTTTTCCTTTCAAATTTATCTGCGTAGTTTATTTCAGGTTGGCCTCATTGTACCATCACATCACATAGTCAATTGTGCTACTATTGTGGCGATGGCATAGCTAGGAATTGCTGGGGAGCGCCCAGTATAGCCATCAGAGGGGGCACTAATGTCTGAATGATTGAATCCCTAATAAATGTGTGTTTATTATTTGAGTAGTTTATGTTTAAAAGGGAAAAGACCTTTTGCAGATAGCTGTTTGTTGTATTTTCTTTGATGCTTAATATTGGTGGATTTGTGCAGCTTTGAGCAGTTTTGCATCAATTTGACAAATGAAAAGCTTCAGCAACACTTCAATCAGGTTTGTTTGTGAGGCATATGCATCTTTACACAATCATGGATTTTTTTGTTTGTATTTGGTGTATCTTTATTAGACATCATTATCTTGTTGGACAGCACGTCTTCAAAATGGAGCAAGAAGAATATACGAAAGAAGAAATTAATTGGAGCTACATTGAATTCATCGATAACCAAGACGTTTTGGACCTCATTGAAAAGGTTTGTGGTGTCTATCTATTTGAAAGTTTTGCCTGATACTCTTCAGATTATTTTCACCTTTCGTGACCCCTTCTACAATCAATATTAACCCAGTTAATCAAAAAATGAATTTTTGTCTACTCTTATGTTATAAATTCCCGGTAACATCATTGTTCATTTTTTTATATTTACCTCACAAACAGTACTTCACCCTTGATCATGTAATATATTTTTAGGACAAAACAAATGCATCAATTCATGCTTTCTATTCTAGAGGCAACCCTTTAAGAATTCTTGGTGAGGCAACCCTTTAAGAATTTTGTAATGTAATCTGTTGATGCATTTTGTGGCGTTTCATGTAGTCTGTTTGGGAATTTGAGGTTGATATTGTTTTGGGTGTTGCCTTTGTATGCCTATGCAATTACCAAATAAACATGATTTTGATGTGGAATGTCTGCATCCAAAGTTAGAATTTGGATGTTTCTCTAACTTGTTTGTTTGTTTCTCTCTCTCTCTCTTAAATGATTTTCTTGAGCTGGTCACTGTTAATTTCATCTTCCTTTTTTTTTTTTTTTTTCTGCTGTCCTTAATTTGATATGCAATGTGATCACCGGTGTCAATGTTCACATGGTTCTTCTCACATTCATGTACTGCATTTTTAATCTATCCTCTTTTAATGTTCAGAAACCTGGTGGTATAATAGCTCTTCTTGATGAAGCTTGGTAAGTACCATTCTGCTATAAGCTTTTCCTTCGATATCATGTGGATTAATGACTTTCAGATAAGTCATCTAGTTTTCTGTTCATATATGATTATGTGATTCTGCAAGTGACTTAGCTGAGTCTTGTATTTTATAGTATGTTCCCAAGATCAACACATGAAACATTTGCCCAAAAGCTATACCAGACATTTAAAAGCCATAAACGCTTCAGCAAGCCAAAGTTGTCTCGTTCTGACTTCACCATTTGCCATTATGCTGGTGATGTAAGTTTCTATTCTTTGTTTTATTATTAATATTTTTTATGCATTCACCTCTTCAACCCAATAAGCAATTAACACAGTCAAGATAAAAGAAGATATATTATCAATTTGATTTATCTTTCAGGTCACTTATCAAACTGAACTGTTTCTGGACAAAAACAAAGATTATGTTATTGCTGAACATCAAGCTCTCTTAAGCGCTTCCAAATGTTCCTTCGCATCACGTTTGTTTCCACTTTCGTCTGAGGAGTCCTCCAAATCATCAAAGTTCTCTTCAATAGGTTCACGATTTAAAGTATGGTGGTTCTTTTATTTTTTATGTACATTGTCTGCTTTTTTGTGTAGCACCTTGAGTAATGAAGCTCCTTGATGTATTTCTTGCAGCAACAATTGCAATCGTTGCTTGAAACTTTGAGTGCTACTGAGCCCCATTATATTCGCTGTGTAAAGCCCAACAATCTTCTTAAGCCAGCTATCTTTGAGAATAATAATGTTCTACAACAACTGCAGTGCGGGGTAACGAAGTTTGGCCTTCTTTTTTAGCTTTCTCTTCTATGTTAGTGTTATTTACAGTCCATATATGTTTGTCTCCTCACAGGGAGTCATGGAGGCAATTAGGATAAGTTGTGCTGGATATCCGACAAGAAAACCTTTTTATGAATTTGTAGACCGATTTTGCATCCTTGCACCTGAAGTTCTGGATGGGAGGTAGTTTTGATTTTTTATGTTAGCTTAGAATGTGTTAATCATTAAAGTTCTTGATTTCTTATAATTAATATTATCATAGTACGGATGAGGTCGCTGCTTGCAAGAGGCTCCTTGAGAAGGTGGGACTGCAAGGATATCAGGTAATAGTAATACATTATGTTTGATCAAACCTACTTCTTAGAATGGTCGTGTCTGAAATATGTTATAATTATGTGGACAACTTATAGGTCATTATGGTCATAATCCAATTTTATTTATGGATGACATAACCTCATCTTATTCTATATGATTGTTTGATTTTGTTGCGAGATGCTGGATGACAATGTATTACTGATTCTCCTTATTGGTCAGTTAAAATAAAATGTAGGGATTTTTGAGCAGATTCATTGTATAATGTTATGCTATTACATAACTTATCAAAAAAAAAAAAAAAAAAAAAAAATGTTATGCTATTGCATAAGTGTCATCAATTTGTTTTGGCCTTTTTACCTTTTATGCTGGCTTCTATTCATCATCTCTTGTTACTTGTTTCTCTTCAGATGTATCTTTTCTATGGGCTGCTAGAGTTGTTAAAACAGAATGTTGCACATCCCTTTTATTCTACCATGAACTGTAATGAATGGTTGTGATGCAAACATTTTTTTCTCTAACATTAGAGTCGGCTAAGGCCCTCAGGGTATTACCAGGGTTCGGCACGGGTCCTTTGCAGAGGTAGGATCTCCCTTTTTAGGACGCTAGATTCAGGAGGGGGGTGCAGTTTGTCTATGCCTTTTAAGACCCACATCGGGTGTGTATTGAGTGTTCCTGGGCTTCTTAAGTGGGTTGCGACTCCATAAATGACTAGTCAAGTGGGTTGCGACTCCATAAATGACTGGCCTTTTGGAACTCAAATAACACTGCGAGATCTAGTTGATGATTATTTATGTGTGGCTGGGAGGTTACATATTTACCTTGCTATTAGGAGAATAAGTATATTTTTCCTTTTTTAATATAGTCTATAACTGACTGTACTAGACACACATACTTGAGCCTTTTATGTTGTGCGCCCAAAGTCTTTAATATAGATAAAATACTAGTAAGGTTCTGTGGTATATAGAATAATAGAGCCATGCTTCCAAATCTTTCTCCTCATGCCCCTTTTTTTCCATATTTTCTTCTCTCCTCTCTCTTCCAAATCTTCTTCTTTTTTCTGTATTCTTTCATTCAAAACAAAAAAACATAGATTAGAAGAATTTTCTTTTGTTGCCCCTAACACTGGCATATAAGCAATATGCGACAAGCTTCTAGGAAACTGTTGAATGCTTGCCGTTTTGGAAAAGGCCCGCATAGACTTTTTCATTAGTTTCTATCTTCAATTTTTATTGGCGTTAATTCTGTTCCTGCATTTATCTGGAGGTGCTGCAATTCTCATTTGCATGAAAACATAAAAGTGCGAGACTGTATGAAGTATCTTTCCAATAAAGAAAGAAAGAGATTGTAGGAAGTATTTTTTTAGGGCGTATGGGTTGACACATTGTGTTGATGTTCTTTGTGATTATTTATGGGACTTCTTTTGTGTCTTTCACATTCGTTTTGTTTTCTGGAACTAATTGGGAAACAAATTATACTGATCAAATTAATTTTTCAGATTGGTAAAACAAAGGTATTTCTAAGGGCTGGTCAGATGGCAGAACTGGATGCTCGCAGAACTGAGGTCTTAGGAAGATCAGCTAGCATTATACAGAGGAAAATTCGTTCTTACATGGGTCGCAAAAGTTTTGTCGTGTTGCGTTTGTCAGCAATATGGATTCAGTCAGCATGCAGAGGTATTTGATTGTGTTAGTAGTGTGCATCTTTGCACAAGTCTTTGCGCAAGGACCTTTTCAATTAGCTCAGCAGTCTATCTTCTTAGGTAATAAAATCATTATATAACTGAATGTCTATTTTTCACTTTGCTAATCGCAGGACAACTTGCTCGGCAAGTTTATGAAGGCATGCGGAGAGAGGCTTCTTGTTTGAGAATCCAAAGAGATTTGCGGATGCATCTTGCTCGGAAAGCTTACAAAGAATTGTGCCACTCTGCTGTTTCTATTCAAGCAGGTATGCGTGGGATGGCTGCACGTAATGAGCTTCGCTTCAGAAGGCAGACAAAGGCAACAATTATTATTCAGGTAAATTACATTTTAGTAATGTACAATATATATTTAGAAGTTTATAAAGGTCTGTCTTTTATTTCATTTTTTTTTTTTTTTTAAATGCCATTATGTGTAAATTTTGAATGACTCTTATTTCTTTATCCAGAGCCACTGTCGCAAGTTCTTAGCCCACTTGCACTATATGAAGTTAAAGAAAGCAGCGATCACCACACAATGTGCATGGAGGGGAAAAGTTGCCCGTAGAGAACTGCGGAAGCTTAAGATGGTGCCTTCTTTTTCTTATATTGTCTTTACCTTGCTTTCTTTCCTGAAATTTATTTTACAACTACTTGTGGTTAGGAAATACGTAATATTGTTCTCTATGCTTCTAAAAGTTTTTTCGGTTTTGTGGAATCTTTTTACGCTTAGATATTTTGCTTGATTGAAAAAAATATTATTACTTTTGCTATTCTTAGTTTGAATTTTGAACTTGATGTTTTTCCTCATATCTGACCTGAAGGCTGGAGTCTTTTGCACCATAATGTATGCACTTGATTAATTAACAATGTGAAATTTTTTAACCATAAAAATTCTGCTGCAATTTTCCTTCAGATGTACAAAATAAATAAAAAGGGACGAAATATATGCCCATCAGTTCATATTCTGTTGCTAATTTTTTTCTTAACAATCATTGCATGGGTCTGTATGAATTATTCAAGTAGACTGAATATGCTAAGAAAGGTCATCACCCCCCTCCCTTTCCCATCAACTGAACTCAACAAAGCCTTTTTCCAACTATTTGGAGTCCATAGAACAATGTTGTGGCAACGTAGACATAAGTGGTCGTATTGGATTTTGAGATCTCTTTTCCCTCTCTCCCGACTCAGTCACATTCAGCTGGGCCAGCTCTCCCTACTATGTCATATCACCCAGTCAGTTGCCCATCTGTCTGTGTGTGTGTGGGGAATAAAACCATCATGCAACTTAGCCTAGTTCGTAATCCTTGGTTTACCATTATTTCATTTCATTCTATTGATGGTTTTGAGATTGTTGTTTTCTTCAATGCAAAATCATGATAGAATTCTTTTTTAAGTAAACTGGACTTCTGTTTTTTTCGTATGGTAGGCCATTCATCAACTCTCCCCTTGCTTCTTTCTATCTTCCTTTCTTGCCTGTTATACTTTAAAGTTAGGGTTTTTATTTTGTTTTTGTCTCTATGTACAGGCCGCAAGGGAAACTGGTGCTCTCCAAGCTGCCAAAAATAAGTTAGAGAAGCAAGTTGAAGAACTGACATGGCGATTACAGCTGGAGAAACGCATCAGAGTAAGTAATTGTAATGAGTTCACTATGTTTTCCCTAAGCTTCTGGCATGGTTTAACCAAACTGCAGGCAACCATTCAACTGTACCGGAACAAAATTTTACAAGCCATTGGGTGTTTTTGTCTGATTTTAGTGTGCAATTTTGCTTCTTGCTTGGAATGCAAAGCATTCTTTTCTATATAGTACTAACTACTAAGATACATTAAATAGTAAACAATGTCCTTTGAAATAAGAAATTATTGCAACTACGAAAACTACAACAACCTCTGTGAATGGGGACTATCTTGAAGTTATGAATTTTTCTTGTGGTGTTTTGATTATAAAATTGCTTCGATGTTGCACTTGCTCTGTCACGGATATGAACAAGGCAGATTATCTTTCTTAGTTTTAAAATCTTAAAAGAATTGCTAGGACATATAATAACTTCCAAAGAATACAAGGGAAGAGATAAAAAGGCCGTTACCTAGTGACGGTGCTGTAAGTCGAGCTGCTGGGAGTAGACTAGTTGCATTCCTAGTGGGTGCTGAGGTGAAAATTAGGCAATGAAATCACTTTCACACGCTTACGTATCATTGCATAAGCAACTGCACCCACAAAGTAGTTGATACTTACAAGTAAATATATAGCTTGGGTAAAATATAAAACAAAAACAAGCTATCTGAGCCTGAAGAAAGGAAGTTCGCTAATCACATCATCATGATTGGCTTATTCAATCTCTATGATTGAGAGAGGTTAACTTTTGCTAATTTTTTTCTTATGCTATCTTCCAAAGCAAATTATATGCAGCTTTAAGCTAATTATCTCCCTCTGATTTGGTTTCACGAAAATAGGATTTCTATATTTGTTCCAAACTGACCAAGCTATTGTTATGGGAGAAGGGACAATAATAATTCATGCTCTTGGGTTGGGAGCCACTAACAATGTTAAGTTTTGTGTTTGGTGATTGCAAATTGATGGTGGGAAGGGGCTTTTGAGCTCTGTGTATTTTGAGGAGAAATAAACAAAAAAAAGGGCAGAAGACTTATAGATCATGTGCTTCTTACACATCCATTCCCTGTGATCCGTGTTGATTTATTCTTAATTTTTGTGTTCACATTTTGTGTGTGTAGGTTGACTTGGAAGAAGCTAAGACACAAGAAAATACAAAACTACAATCTGCTTTGCAAGAGATGCAATTTCAATTCAAAGAAACTAAAGCAATGCTCATGAAGGAACGCGAGGGTGCCCAAAAAGCAGCAGAGAAAGTCCCTGTCATACAAGAGATCCCAGTCATTGACCATGCAATGCTGGATAAACTTACTGTTGAAAATGAAAAACTCAAGGTTAGGAGGCTGATATTTTATTATCTAATATTGCTTCATGATGCTGCGTTTATGTACTTATTAAATTCATTTCAGTTCTTATATCCGGGACTTGTGTTCTTTTATCTGCCAATCTAATCTTGTAATCAATTGCAGGCCTTGGTTAGTTCTCTAGAAAAGAAAATTGATGAAACTGAGAAAAAATATGAAGAGACAAACAAACTTAGTGAAGAGAGGTTGAAGCAGGCTCTGTATGCAGAGTCAAAGATAGTGCAGTTGAAGATTACGATGCAGAGGTCGTGCACAGATTTAAGTTTGATTTGTATTACAACTAGAATGTTACGTTGAAAGTGGACTTTGTTGCATGCTTACTGGTGGTCGTGGATGATCATGCTATTTCTTCTTTTCACCCTCAGTAAATTGTTGCGTAATAAATTGTATTATTTGTATGCAGGCTCGAGGAAAAGTTTTATGACGTTGAATCCGAGAACCAAGTTCTTCGGCGGCAAACCTTGTTAAATACACCTGTTAAACAGATGTCAGAACGTCCACCATCTTCAGCTACTAAGGTGAACATTTGCAGCTAAAATGATACAGATCTTCCTTTCCACTACCCACCCACCTCCTTTCCTCTCTCAAACTTAGTTCGTGTTCATTTTATGCAGAGTTCGGAAAATGGTCTCCATGTGAATGAAGAGAATAGAGACAATGTAATATAACCGTTTCCAATAATCTATGTACAAATTTTTTGCTCCAGCTTATCACACTACTTTCTGCTTCACTGGTCATGGAAATATTTGTTTCTGCAGGAACTGAAAAATGCCACGCCTGTGAAGAAGTTTGGGACAGAATCTGATAGCAAGTTTAGAAGATCCCTAATTGATCATCAACATGTATGTGCACTGACGGGGATTGTTTGGTCATGCTTTCCTTTTTATGTGGATCTTATGTTGACTGATATTAGCATCTTTGGGTTTCAACCTGCTGCAGGAGAATGTTGACGCTCTTATCAATTGTGTTATGAATGATGTTGGGTTCAGTCAAGGCAAGCCTGTTGCAGCATTTACTATTTACAAATGTCTTCTCCATTGGAAATCTTTTGAGGCTGAAAGGACAAGTGTGTTTGATCGTCTCATTCAGATAATTGGTTCAGCAATTGAGGTAATTGGATCACACTATTTAAAGTTATTATTTGTTTGGATGCGGGAATCATAAGTTAACAAGGGGCTCTGTCCAGTCTGATGGTTATTAATTTTGCTTTGAGGATGTTCAAATATTTTAAGCCTTATTTGAACTTGAGGATGTCCAACTGTCCTTCCTCGGGTATTTGAATTTCTAGATTTATGAATTATAAATAGGTTTTCTAAATGCATGAAGCTTGTCATTCGCTTTTAATCAAGTTTTCTCTACTTTTGACAATCAACAAATTTTTTCAATCAATTTTTCCCCTTATGGTTCCCCATTGAGCTCTGTGTGAAATTATTGATTTTACCTGCTGGAATCTCATGTGAATTTTCAGAGTATATATCATGCCTATCACTAGCTTAATTGAGGGAACTCACCTAAAATGTTCCAAATGTACTTTTTCTTTGGGCTGCATGAAGAGGATAAAATTCTAGTTCATTGCTGGAACCTGCATGGAATTGTCCTAGACTCTTCAAAAAGAATATAAGGGCAATTTTAGTATTACGTTGCTGCTGGTAGAGCTGTTAATGATCAGATCATGATCAAGTGTCAATCAAATTTGACTTGAAAATTGAATCATGATACCATTTTTAGATTCATTGGTTCAAAATTGAATTTATTTGTAACTGGATTAACTCGGATATTGTCATCTAGGTAGATTTAAACCCATTAATGACCGTCCTACATCCTCCTCAGCTTTTGAACTCTGTTATTAATTTAATTTGAACTTGAACCTGAGTTTTGTGGATGTTTAAATTACTTCTATTTTTTCTGTTTCTTCCCTTACTCTAAAAGAAGAGACAGGAGAGAAGAAAACTGGAAATGGATTATTTGAGGGTTTACGAGTCCTTTTTCCAAAAATTTGGCTGATCTGAATGGAGATGAATGATTTATGTAGACGATCTTTGTTATATTAGTTTCCATTTGGTTTTAAGGATTTGAAATTAATGGATTTGTGTTCCATCATTCAAAGGATTATAGCATAAATTAAAAGTGATTTAGTTTTACGTTTTAAGAATATGAATATTGATTTGAGAGGTTTATTTGTATGGATTTCAAAGAACAAGGTGGATGGAGCTATTTGAAAGCCATCCTCCCATCAAGGATTTCAACTGTACAATGACTAATAAAATATATCTCTAATACCTCTAATCAAATATCTCTGATTTTTGGGATCCAACTTCAATAAATAATATTGTGTTGGACTCAATTCCATTCATTTATCCAAATGAAGCCTTAAGGTTTTGTAATGGGGACAATAGAATAGTTTCATATTATTCATTTATTTTTTTACCGTGCCCCCAAAAGTAACAATTTAGGAATTAAACCTAAGATACATCCTTTTTTCATTGTGTCATGTTTAAGTTTCAAATTTATAAAGGAATTCAAACTTGAAATTAAACCACTTAAAAGCTCACCCCTATTGTCCTGGGTCAATGTCATTTTATGCCACTGTTTTATTTTTTCTCCATAAACACGCCACTATTGGACATTATATTTGTCGTAATCTCTATTTCTGTGCATTTGTTCTTTTTAATTGTTGAACCACTAGTTCGTAGATCTTTTCCTGTGATTATGTTGCTTGGTCAATCTTAGACTGCTATTTTGTGCTCTAGTACCACAGAAACCCATGAACATAATATTTTCACGGGCATCAAATTGGCTAATTGAATTCTATTGATTTGCTTCATCTCTCTGCCTAGGTTTACAAGTTTATGTTTGCAATATGACCCATTGTTAGATATAAAAGTATAATAAGGCTTCATCTGATTTCAGAATCAAGATAATAATGACCTTATGGCTTATTGGCTATCAAATACGTCTACGTTGTTGTTCTTGCTTCAACGAAGTTTAAAAACTGCTGGTGCGGCCGGTGCAACTCCACATCGTAAACCACCTGCTCCAACATCCCTGTTTGGGAGAATGACCATGGTAATAAATAGAATAATTTAACCTTTTCCCATATTTTGTATGAGGTCCAATCTCAATTTTTGGTTCAAACTCGGAGGACCTAATTCCAATAATTCTATTTTATGACATTTAATATGATTCGGTTTATATTACTAGGGATTCCGCTCGTCCCCTTCTTCTGCAAACCTTGCTGTAGCTGCGCTCGAGGTGGTACGCAAAGTAGAAGCTAAATACCCTGCTTTGCTTTTCAAGCAGCAGCTCACAGCATATGTTGAGAAAATATATGGAATCCTTCGAGACAACTTGAAGAAGGAGTTGTCATCTCTGGTTACTTTGTGTATCAAGGTATATGGAACTTCAGTTTTCAACCTCCCTTCCAAATTCAGTTGTTTAGATTGTCTTATTATTATTATTATTATTATTATTGATTATTTATTATTATTTTTTTGGGGGTGGGGTGGGGGCGATACTGTCATAATCGTCGATCTCTCTAATATTTTGAAGTTGAGGTATAAATGTAGGCTCTTTCAGGCAAATAGATGCTAATGCAGGCCTAGATTAAATGGCAGAATATTGAAATTGAAGAGAGAATAGAAAATGAAGAACACAAGGATATAACCTGGTTCAACCACTATGGCTTACATCCATGACGCACAAAGCCCAAAGGGCTACATCTCTTTCATTACATTCTCTCTTAATTTTGTTTACAATAACCACCTCTATTTGTAGGTGAAATTGGGGAAGACATGTAAATAGAGAATCGAAATTTCTTGCTCTACAAGTATTTTATAATAAAGGAATTACATTGAAAGGCAAATACAAATATGGCAACAACTTGTTACCCAAGTATAGCAACCTACATTCTGTCAAGGAGTGAGTTAAATCACTCCTATAATTATTCTCCAACACAGAAAAAAGTCTACATTTGCATTCCTTGTTGAGAAGCCTTGACCAGCCATGGTGCTCTGAAAACTTCTGCCTTTGTTTTGAAGCAAAAAAAGATTTATCTTAAGAGGTAAAATATTCGAAGAAATAGGCTGAAAAACTCTTGATGTGTTCATCATGCTATTACAAAGGTTTTTGGACTATATAAGAGATAGATCATAATTCTGAATGTCGTTACATATAAGAGATAAATCATAATTCTGAATGACATACACATACACGACTCTTTTATAGATATATTTGTGCTTAATAGATTCTGTTGCAAAGGTTGCACCTTTGATGTGGAGGAAAATCATTCGAATACATCTCTCTCTCTCTCTCTCTCTCTCTCTCTCTCTCTCTCTCGTGCGTGCGCAACTGAAATGAATTGCAAATTCCCTGAATGTTCATTTTTTCTTCTATTGAAATTTCTACCGAATGTATCATAAACTATTCCTTTTTTAAGCGTATCATAGATTCCACAAATGAGCTGTTTGCATGGTCATAAATAAATGATTATGCACTAATTTATCATCTCATGTTTATTTAGCAAAAATTGCACCTTTGATGTGGAGGAATAAACTGGGAATTCCCTATATTTTTTTTTTTAATTTTTTTATTTTCTCTACAGAATTTATCATAATGTTCTTGATAAGTTTCTATTCAACTTTTAACAATTGCATAGATTCCACAAATGAGCTGTGTGCGCGCGCACAACATTCTGGAATGCTAGGATATGATTACGATTTTATTTATTATATATTGAGCTCGTAATTTTGCTTCATAATCTTTAATGCTGAAATCTTAGGCTGCAAGAAATCCCAAGGGAAGTGTGCTAAGATCTGGGCGGTCTTTCGGCAAAGAGTCTCCATCAAATCACTGGCAGAGCATCATCGAGTGTCTCAACGCTCTTCTCTGTAAATTGAAAGAAAATTTTGTATGTATCTTTGTGATACTCTGTTATTATTCTATTGCAAATGCATGGAAATGCTTATGGTTGTTGGGGTTTCAGGTGCCTCCAATTCTTGTTCAGAAGATCTTCACTCAAGCTTTCTCATACATGAATGTACAACTCTTTAATAGGTATGTTTTATGTTTCTTTGTTGATACTGTTGTCTCATTGTGCTGAAAGTTTTTCTGATCTATGAAAGTTCGTGATTCTGCAGTCTTCTTCTACGGTGTGAATGCTGTACATTCAGCAATGGGGAATATGTGAAAGCTGGGTTAGCTGAGTTAGAGCTATGGTGCTGCCAAGCAAAAGAAGAGGCATTTTCTTCCTCTGTAGTCAATTGTTCTGTTATGACTTGTCAATCAATCCATTACTGATACCTGAATAGTAACTTACATGGCTTGCCTATTTTGATAACTGAATTGTCCTTGGATTGCAGTATTCCGGCACAGCATGGGATGAACTTAAGCACATAAGACAAGCTGTAGGATTCTTGGTATGTCCATCCGTATTCATGCTAAAGTGCCATTTTACAACAAAGTCACTGCGATCGTTATTCTTTATAATTTTAATATTTTACTTTTCAGTTTATGCATATTTCTTTTGATTTATTAGTGAACCAAAGTGGGTGATTATTAGCTGTGATAGAATTTGGATCAATGAAGTTAACATTGATAAGTTACTGATTTTTTGTGTAAAAATGGATGTTTCTTCCTTTAATCTGAAATTAATTGGTAATGATGTAATTTGTCACTTGGATTTGCAATAGAAGTTCTATAACAAATTAATTCTGAAGTGTATATCCGACTTTCAATTAGCATAACGTGAACAACATATTTGAGTCACAAATTAAGAACTAGAGATTTTTGTTTAATAAAATATTTGTTTCTCCTTTTGTCTGACCATTACATTTTAATATCCCCTTATTTACATTGATCAGTTCAGAAAGGCAAACTCGAAGTTCTCTTGATGGCTTTTTCTGAAAAACGTATTAGTAAAGAAGTGATTTTATTGTGCACGCATATCTTCCCATCCAGTGTCAAAACATCAAGAACACCAAACGTCTTTGTGTTCTAATGTCTTATGAATTGTCTCCCACATAAAATTGCAATGAGATCACTATCACTCCAATGGGAATGTGATACCTATATTTGGCTAGAATATCATTCCCGGAGGAACAGGGTGGTTTCCATTAATGTTGAAATAAGCCAGACTAGGATTGTAGTACCTAAACCAATCCTCCGTTCTTACCATCAAAATGCAACCTTGGAGAAAATATAATATGCGTTATTCTTCACAAAACAAGCTTCTATTCACACCAGTGGTGGAAAGCTTTCAATCGCTCACTTCAAATATAGTGCTTAAAATTGCTACACGACTCAACTCAAAAAAAACATTTTCCCAACTATTTGGGCTTGATTGCATGATTGATGTTTCACCATGACCCATTATTTGAGCAATAACTTTTAGACTACCGATTGCCCTAAAACTGAAGTTTTAAGTGATTGGATTCAACAATGGGTTTCAAAATCCTATATTCCCCCTCACGTGCGACCTTTCGCATGTGGTGAGCTGAAAAGACCAAATCAATATTGGAACTACTGCAAACTTACACGACAGACCGGGAAACAAATGCAGAGATGGAGTCTTGAATCCAAGATCTCCAGAACCAAAGCTCTGATACCATGTTAGACCACTAATTGCCCCAAGGCTCAAGCCTTTTGAGAATTGGTCGAACAATAACCTTAAATAAATCCTTTTATCATATCTTAATATCTCAACTCATTATAGTTTTGGTTGTCTCCTTATGCTAGCATTATCTGCAATACCTAATTCATATTGGATCCTTATCCATTATCCTTTTTGACATTCTGCGTTAAAGTTTACCATAGTTGAACCAACTACTTATTACTTTTGGTTCAGCATTTCAATACTGACGTTTGTGAGTAATTTTCTTCTTGCGCTGTTTTTATACGAGTGATGTGCAATATTTATAATCAACTTTCATGGGGAGTCATCCGCTTATCTACCTCAGTTTTCAGCGCCCGTGAACAAACTTCTTGATTTAGAAAAATCTTTTGTGCCTCGTAATCTGTAACAGTTGGGTATTTCATTTTTTGTGACTAGCATCTCTATAATTTGCCTTCTTCTCAACCTTTAACTTGAGACTAGCAACACGAATGATGTTGATGCCTCATGGATCCCATTTACAAATATATATTTGTTGTCACCTTCTGAAAAAAATATGTATTTGTTGTTCCCCTCGTGGATTTTTCCTTTTGTAAAAGTTCTATTAACGTCACAAGTTATCTACTTTCCTTTATAATTATCTGGACCAATGTTGTCTCCTCTACTTCAGTAATTGAAATTTTTTGTGTTACTTCAAGAGGTGCACACCATTTGTTTGTTAATATTGTGATAATTAAAATTTTTAATTTAAGTTATTATTTCTTGAACCGATATCAATTTTTTCTTGGTCCTTATTCACTATTTAGTCTAATTTTGTTACTGTGCTTCATGATTCTTTCACGTATCATTCCTAATTAATCCTGAATTACAAATTACTTTTCTTGTAGGTAATCATCTAGCAATCCTAGGTATATACCATGATGTTATTCTTGTAGGATTTATGCATGAAATTTATATTCCAAGGATGCTCTGGAGCATCAATTGATTTCAACAAAAAATATTTTTTTCCTGTTTTTATTAGTTTTCAACTTATCGACTTACCTCCGATGATGCAATTTCTGAAATTACAAACTACGTTTTGGATTGTTGGGCACTGGTTTAACTATTCATTGAATGATTTTTTTCGTGGCCAATACTGTAAATGTTTTACCCATGACTTGTTGGTCTAATGGTATGGGGGAACCTTGAAAAAAATCTTAATTGGAAGGTCTGGGCTCAAAACTCAGGGCATGGAATTTAGGAGGCTAGAATTACTTAATTGTCTATGAAATGTGTGTGTGTGTATTTAGCAAAAGTTTTGATTCCCATTGCAGTATGTTGTTCATATTTATATTGAATAAAGACTTGTTTGGTGGAGACAAGACACAATTATACTCCAAAAATGTCTCTTTATAGCACTGTTTCACCCTCTTTTTTTTCTTCCTTTTTTTTTGTTTTTTTTTTTTCTCTTAGTAAGTGTAGCACCTTGATGATTATTATCTTAACTACTCATCACTTGATCCACAGGTTATACATCAGAAGGATAGAATATCTTATGATGAAATTACCCACGATCTGTGCCCTGTGAGTCTCTCTCTCTCTCTCTCTCCTTTTTGAAATACATAACGTTTCATAGAAGATCCACCTAGGTGCACAATTAGACTTTGTATTTACGCGTTTCTCTCAGTTCTTGCTCGTAGTTAAAGCTACCGAGCACAGTTTATAAAATGGAATATGTTTTTCTAATGTGGAAGTTCTCTTTTTAACTTGGTCTCTCTATCTCTATCGCATGAAAAATATTGGTTTCTTCAGATTCTCAGTGTCCAGCAGCTGTATAGGATATGTTCATTGTACAAGGATGACAAATATAATACTCCAAGTGTATCTTCTGGTGTAAGTTTTTATATGGAAAGGCAAAAAAAATTCTAGAATTTTTTATAAATTTCTTCTTCGGGCAATCTAGATGGCTGGCTAATATAAACGTGTCTATGGACAGGTGAAGTCCAGCGTGACGGTGCTAATGACAGAGGACTCCAACAGTGCTGTTAGCAGTGCCTATTTATTGGAAGACAATTCCAGGTGAGAGTTTTTTGTTTTTTCACATACAGTTTGTTTCATAATTTATAAAAATTGGTTCTGGAAACGATTCCTCAAACTACACTTGTCCTTTGAGCATGATTCTGTTAATCTATAATTATAAGGGATTTATGTAATTCCTAAAGTGAATGAAGGTGACATTGTTTTTTTGCTTAAGAGAAGGATTTCTCAGATGTCAAACCTGCAGTCGAACATAAATACATAACTACCATCACGATAATACAAACATCCCATAAAAATCTATGTAATGCTGTTCTCTGTTATAGTTTTTTGTTGTCAAATGAAACAGATGTAGATATCGTTTTAAACACGGGAATTTTTAACTTGTTAAATCCTTTGGATGCAGCATTCCCTTCTCAGTTGATGACCTTTCTGGTTCACTGCAAGAGAAGGATTTCTCAGATGTCCAACCTGCAGTCGAACTTCTCGAGAATCCAGCCTTCCAATTTTTACATGACTGAGGCTAATAAGGAATCTCTAGCAATCCTTTCTTGTGTTCTGCCAAGGTAGGCAGCCAATTGAAATATCCCTTTCAATACATTTAAATATTGTAAATCCGTTCCTTTTTTATTTTATAATTTTTTGTTTCGGGTGAGGTGTTTCATTATAGGTCAATTTCACTTCATCCCAGCCCAAGCTGTAAAATTATTCTTTGCGTTTAAATTTGTAAAATGTTCCATCGTACGAGGGGGGGCAGGGATATGTCTTTGTTTCGTCGAGTTCATTCTTTTTCTTTGGTTCTGTTCTGTTCTCTTCTGTCAAGATGGGCAGCATTCTTTGTAGGGAGTCTAGTAGAGTAGGGTATTGTTTGGTAATTGGTGGTCATAGTTTTGGTTTCTTTCCACCCATTTTTTTCCCGGTATGTATCGAAAATTAGATCATTCGAACCAATCGCCGTTAAATTAGATGACAATTTTTGGTGATTGCTTTTGTATAAACTTGTAAACATCTCGAATGGAATTTAATGAAATATTTTGGTTTTTTGTTTTTGTTATTCTTATTATTACTAATTTTCAGTTGTGATAAACAATTTACAATGGAACGTTGAATGTTCGGGTATGGTCTTGTTCCATACACATTGTTCGGACTTCTGAGAAAAAATATGGTGGAATGCAAACAAGACCTTGATATCTTAACTAATCTTTGTTCTGGTTGTACCAGCATTATTCGTCTTTGCTTTATTGTTGTGAATAATTTTTGCAAGGTATTATTTTTGGTTTTAAATTGAATTGAGCATTATCCAACCTCATTTAAGCAGTGTGCTTGAATTTAATGCTGTGAAGGTTTTCTCGAACTTTTTTTTCATTGGAAGAACTTTTTCCCTAATCGGTAACCTAATGGAGGAAAATACAAAAATTGGTAAAAAGTACCATCAAAGGGATGTTAGGCTTTCAATAGCATGTGAAGCAGATTCAGGGTTTGACGCACATAACAGTATGAAGTAACAACATTGGGTCTGTATCAACGTTGCATGATAGAATCCGTTAGTGTATTAAATTTTTTTTTTTTTTTTACATGAGATCCAAATTGTACCTTAATTAAATAAAAATTAGTTTTTGGTGAATTTTAATAAATTTGATTGAATTTCTGGAAACCATTTAACACATTGAGTTTTGAATTCTTGCTTTGTTCCTATGGATATTGAAATTTTGACCCTTCCACCGGTAGAGAATAGGACCACAACTTTTGATGGTACTGAGACCTTTTAATATATGATGTGTTGCTAAAAAGTGAGAACTTTAAATATGATGTTACCAAGTGAGGACAGTTTAAATCATTATTAAACCTCAAAAGTGAGTAGGCTTGTTATGTGGCTATCTTAAGACTGGTTTATCCAATCCAATTAATGAACAATTAACAGTAAATAGATATAACAATCAAATCAGACCTTTTCAAAGATAGGGGCAAAAAGCCCTTGGGCCAACCCATGAGGAATTCACATGGCCTGCCTAAATACCTTTAGAAATTAGCATGCACACCCACACACACATACAAAATGGGGCTTCACTAGGTCACCACACCCTTCTACACCACCAAAAGTCCTCAATAGGGACTAGGGTTTGGGACCATAACATCATTGTATCAGGACCACCCCTACTGGACCATTTCTCATTCTTCAAACTTCAATGCATTCCAACTGCAATTCCACATTTCTGATCAATTCTGCACCGGCCGGTCGACTTTCCGGGTGCCCCCATCAACATGGGTTGTACAACTGGCCAAAATAATCAAAATGTGGATTAACCCAAATCCATGGATAGATTTGTATCAGCATACAAACAGGAGATTGGGGGAATCTGTATTGGGTGTCAATTGGGCCCATGTGAGTTTTACCTGACTCACTCATATGCTAATAGGAGAGATTTTGATAAAAACTCGTGTCATTGTCACCCACATAGATCATACACTCCATCTGGCTATGTTGGGTCCACTGTTGGGCTGAAACATTCTAAGATGATTTACTGTTTTAGCCTAATTCCCATGCTGAATAGGTGATTTCCCATCCACTAAATTTTTGTTGTTATCCATCTAAAATTCTAAATCACGCGTGTAAGATCGTGACACGTATAAATGATTCTGACCGTTCATTGTAATACTACATTATATCATTTCAAGTTTCTGATTACATGGTGGCAAAGTTGGCATTTTGGGCTTCATTAACTTTTTATGGCCTCTGGAGTGAAATGACTAATAGCAAACACTCCTTTCTTGGTTCAAAAGCTGAGGAAATGAGCCTTATCCAAATCCCACCTCATCCCATACTTCTACAAGCTCCCGTCACAATCTTACCTTGCCCTATTCCCTATAGCTGACCAAAACCTAGGTTGCCAACTCCATCACTTTTATCACCTAGTGATCTCTCTCTCTTTCTCTCTCTCTCACACACACACACACACACGTCTTGCTGTGGTGGCCGAAGAAGATACGGGATTCAATAGAATTAAATCCTCTCATGTGAATAGTAACTCCACTTTCATTCAGTTGGGATGTAGCTTACAAACATTATGATATTTTTGTAAGGTGCGTTTCAATTGAACGATACAGGATAAATTATTTCACCAAAAAAAATTTGGGTTCGGGATCCAATAAGGGAGTGACGCTTGTATACATATATAATTTTGTCTTACTTGGTAATGGAATCCAATAGGGTGAGTCACACACACACACAACACAACACAAACCGACACACATACATATTTGTCTTGTTATGGTGACTGAAGGTGATATGGGATCCAATGGATCAAAATTCTCTCCAGGTACCAGTAGTACATTTGGGATCCACTATATAAAAAAATTAGAATATTTGCTAAATATCGTCATATTTTTTGTATGGTGCATCCCACCTAGACGGAATAGAAGAGATTATTCCACCTGAGCGATTCGGATCCCGGGAGTGACATACACACATATACATATATAATTTTGTCTTGGTTGTTGACTAAAGGCGATATGGGATCCAATAGGGGAGTCACACACACACACACACACACACACACACGTGTATATATAATTTTGTCTTGCCCAGTCTCTCTCTCTCTCACACACACACACACACATACATGAACGTATAGAATTTTGTCTTACTTGGTGATTGGAGATGATATGGGATCCAATGGGGAGTGTCCAAGTTGGTCACTGTCTCTTAAATGGCATAGAATAGGTGTGACACCTACCTATATACATTTTGGTCATCACCTAATACAATTTTATCAATATCTTGGGAATTTGTGGTCATGATTTTAGTGAAGCCAATATTGGAATTTCCTTATGGCCCTAACATGTGCTTCATTAACGCGAGCGAAAGTTCACTATTATCAACTTTGCTACATTCAAAGTACGTTCTGCTTCTGGCGGCAACATGCTATTGGTGATTATTATACTCAATCCCGAATTCAACTTAGACAAATTCAACTTTGTATCCTTTAATTTATAAATACTTTAAAATTTTAATTTGATTAAGATAGATTTATGAATAGTTTATCAAACCTATGAAAAAACATTTATATTATATTTGAGTGTACGGATCAATACCTTAAAATTAAAATTGAAATAATATTAGTAACAACTTTGAACAAATTGCTTTAATTTTAATTTTAACGGTTAAAATCACAAAATTCCCTTCTACCTTCAAAATCGTACATAAAACTTTCAATAAAATTTAAAAAACTCCTGAATTAACAAAACTTATCAAGTTATCTCCAAATCCGTGACCGACCCGTTAAATAAATAGTGAAATGTCAAATTTGGCCTTACTATTTAATATTAAATAAAAAGCTATAATTATTATTTTAAAATTATAAAAATTCCCCAAAATGCTTACAAAAATATTAATTAAAAGTTATTAAATCAAATTTGACTTTTAAAGTGTTTGGGAAGAAGACGCATTTTTGTAATTTTAAAATAATAATTATAGCCTTTAATTAAATATTAAATAATAAGGTCAAATATGACATTTCACAATCTATTTAACGGGTAGGACACGAGTTTGTAAGTAACTTGATATGTTTTGTAAGTAGGAGAATGTTTTATAATTTTAACCTTAATTTTAATTTTAATTTTAATTTTAATTTTAAAACACACTCTTAAACATAGCATTGATACTTAGGCATTGTATGATTAGGTTGGCGAGGTGTCGGTGGTTGTTGGGCCTTCTGAACCGATGAGAAGCTCAGAGTTTTCAAGTCAAGATTATGTGGGCCAGCTTTAGGGTTTGTCAAAGAGAGGAACATGGGATGTGAGCTGGTAATGCTCCTATGGGCCCAAAAACAAAGAAAAAAGAAAAGAAAAAAAGACAAAAATTAACTTTTTAGTAAAAATTCAATGAGATAAAAACCCACCCAGCAAGGAAAAATAGGACAATTTTCTTGTGTCTTTGAAAATTGTAGCACATATGTTAAAACTGCCACATTAAAATTTTACTAGGAAATTCATGGGAAAAAAAATATTGACGAAGGAAAAAGAATACATCTTGTCAATATCTTTTCAATTAATTGCTCCCCTTCAAAAGCATAGTAGCTGCATTAATTTAGCATGAAATATTCTTCAGTCGACACATTCCAATATTGCGCACCAGCTTCTTAAATTTATACTTAGTGGTGCTTTAGTGAATAGTCGGCCGTGCTTTAGTGTACGTCAATGTCACGGCTCTTCAAGAGTTCATGTGTGAAAATGAATTTTGGTGAAAAATACTTGGTTATGTCACATTTGATGTAACCGTCTCTTATTTGTGTGATATAAAAATTAACTTTTTAATAAAGACGTGTCAAAAAAAAAAAAAAAAAAAAAAAAAACGAGAAAAGGAAAATATGACCCATCAGTTAAGAAGTACAGATACGAACACCCATATACGACATGGTACAAACATGGTAATATGAAGAATCTAAAAAATTTGGACATAAGTACGGCATAGATACTTAAAAAAAATAATATAATATATTATTATATGTAAAAAATAATAATATTTATTATTTTATCTCTATAATCATGAATAAAATTACTATTTTGGAGTTTATGGCTTGATTTTTGTTAATTTTGTTTTCTTAAATTATATATTATTCTTTTAATTAATCCATTATATATTTTAAATTGCATTGAATCCATTCTTTTGACAAAAATAATTATAAAATCACCCTATCATATCCTGAAAGTATCTAAAACGTATCCATGCTGTGTTTAACTAAAAAACAAAATATTCAAATTTTAAAATACTTTTAGTCATATTCAACACGTGTCTAGATTGTATCAGTATATATTGGACAAGTGTCTGAATATCTGATATTGCTATCGCACAACAACACGATTATCATGGGCGCACTCTATCACTGAGCTAATAGCCCATCGTGTGAGTGGGGGACACTATGCCAAAAACAAGAGAAAGCCCATCCCTCTCTTTCCTTTTTTCACCCCCATTTTGTCACATGGGGTCATGGGGACGTAAAAAAAAAGATCCTAGTATCCTATCAACTTGTTCTGACTTAGGATAATAAGATTATG